CACCAGCAGATGTTAGCAGGTGTTAGCAGCAGATGTTAGCAGGTGTTAGCAGCAGACACCAGCAGGTGTTAGCAGGTGTTGGGGACATGTCCTCACTTGTGGACCTAAGTGTCATCAGGTGTTTCAGCCTCTCAGGACAGTTTTAATGTGTTTTCAACAAAGTTCCTGAGGTTTGTTTTTTAAAATCCTCATGGTTCCTTGCTGGTCTCCTGAAGTTCCTGTTAAAGTCTAAGCTCTCGAACACACGACTCAGTGCGCCGATGTTCCACAGTCACAGTGTTGGATAGAGAGTCACTGTCACGAGCCTCCACCGAGCTTCATTTCATTTTTAGATATTTCAAGATATTGAACCAAACTGAAGAACATGTTCATTTACTGAATCTCATCATATTTAATAATGTTTAAAAATCATTTCAAATGAATCTGTGAGGCGTATTTATTGTGTTTATCATCTTAAGCAAAAAGAAAACGTTCATGTCACAAACAAATCAAATCAAATGACACGAGACGAAAATCAAATATTAAAAATATGAAGATCTTCATTAAAAACTGATCACTTCCTGGTATCGATCGCTGCTTACGCAATCAGGAACCCGGTCATAACATGTGACGTATGCGGAAGCGTATTCGTTCATCCGAGGAGCCGCGGAGCAGAGGCACAGCGGACCGTGGCCCGGGCAGGTAAACGCTTCATGTCCGACTCCTGTGGTCGTGTTGGTCTCAGTCACACAGATGTGCACTGACGGTGTCCTCTGACCAAACACTTCCGGTGTTAGCAGAGAATTTAGCTGCAGGGAAGCTAACGGCTGTTAGCGGTCAAGTTAGCTGCAGTCAACCGGAACAGGAGCGGAGATAAGATCAGTGATGTCAGTGATGTAAAGTAGTAAAATGATTTTATACACGTTGAAGTGATGAATATGAAGCCGCTGAATAATTAACATTAATAATAAAATAAACAGTGAAGAGATGTGATTCTAAACAAGTCAAATAGTTTCTATAGAGACCGCTTCTGACGCGATTATCTTTTATTTTGAGGTTCCTGACAGGAAGTGGATCTAACGCTGAGATGCGAACTTTACGTTACAAACAAAACCGGTTTATAAATTAAAAAGTGAAGAGACACGTTTTCATGACAGGTTAGCTAGTTAGCTGGTTCGTTCACTAGTTAGCTGGTTCGTTCACTAGTTAGCTGGTTCGTTAGCTGGTTAGTTCACTAGTTAGCTGGTTAGTTCACTAGTTAGCTGGTTAGTTCACTAGTTAGCTGGTTAGTTTGGTCACTGCCCTCAGGGACAGATTGTTACTTGTTTTTCAGGTTTTTTTATGCCACTTCTACTTCCACCACATTTCAGAATAAAGTCTTTCACACTTTTAATCTGAAATATATTTATGTGACATTTGTATGTCTCAGTTCTCAGCTGCTCTCTAACTAACTAACTAACTAACGAACTGATTATCATACTGATGTTAATAGTATGAGACTGATACAGCTGTGGACATCTGGGCTGCGTTCAGAAAGTCCAAATAATCTCATCTCCTAACCACTATTCCTTGACCCCGAAGGAGAAGCTGTAAGGAGTTAGGAAAGGAGAACCAGAGTGCGGAGAAAATCCAACAACACGTACACTTGGTATTAACAGTCGTCTGTCTTCTGACAGTTATAATAACAACAGAATGACACGTCCTGAGAAAAGACGTTTTCAGTTTCTACAGAGGAAACATTTCAATCAGCTACTCACAGGAAACAAGAATCCAACAAACAGGACTGAATGATGAAATAATGATGTGAGGAACATTTCAGCAGAACAGTGGAGAACAAATGATTCTGTACCTTTTCTACTAGTTTTTAGTTGTGATGATGTTGTGAACTACAAGTTCATTATTATGTCATGAGAATAAAACATCTGTTCTGTTTTTCATATTTACGTGGGTGTGTCCAGGGTGGGTGTGTCCAGGTGCAAATACGAGGCTGCATCACTTTAAATGTCGCTGCTGCAAACAATTGTCGGGCGGCGTTTTCTCCTTTTGAACAGCTCTTATTGTGGCGGCAGCTGAAACATTCTGGGTTATTTCACTCAGTTAAGTGTGAAGCAGTGATGGAGGAGTGGAGCTGTGGTATCAAGGCGCTGCCAATCAGGAGTCAGTGTCAGCTGTCAATCATGATGTCTCCGCTTGTTTTTATATCATCAAATAACTAATTAAAACCACTTGAACAATGACAGAAACCATCTTTGACAAACATTTATTTAAAGTGTAATTTGGGTTTTTAGTTTGGTCCATGTCTCATCTGCTAACATGGAGGAGGGTCATGACTGAGACTGCAGCCAGACACCAGGGGGCAATAGAGATGATGTTGAGAGCATTCATGTTATCCATCAGGCATATTCTCCCCTTCCCTGTTCTCTAAAATCTCTCTCTCTCTTACTGTCTCTCTCTCAGGTCGATGTAATGATGGCGTCCTCTCTTTAGCACCTGCTAAGTGTTAGCGGCGTCAGGATGCAGATCCTGGTGAAGAAGCTTCTCGGCCTGCTGGGATTGTTCGGCCTCATGCTGGCTGGCATTCTGGTCCCAGTGCGCCTCCTGCTGGTCGACTACGACAAGGCACACAAGTACAGGAGAGCGCTGTCTCTCTGTAACTCGTTTGGAGGAGGCGTGTTCCTCGCGACATGCTTCAACGCTCTGCTGCCCGCCGTCAGAGACAAGGTACGACTTCTAGATGCTGGCTGAACCACTACAGCATGTCCAGTAAGAAGACATGAGACAGTGTCAACTTCTAGAGAAGTTTAATGAAGCAACTTCTCTTACAAGTGTTACTGGAACCTGGGCTGTCATTAAGTTGACCATAGTCCTGCCTGACTCTAAATTTCCAGGAAGGGGCGCTATGCTGCAGCCTGATCACAATTAAAGGAGAAGTTCGGTTTTTTTCAACCTGGTCCTTATTTCCAGCATATGGTTTGTAGATCTACTCGCCCATAAAGGTTTGGAGTAACTTGGAGTCCTTCGGACGCTTTTAGATCCACACGCGGTCGGTGTATATCACTACAATGCAAGTGACTGGGGCATCCACAATGCAGCCTCTAAATAACCATTATCTGCTGCGAAACTCTTTATTTACTATGAATCTCCAGCACTAGTCCCCTGTGAGTCTCGCCAGCCTCGGAGCTAGCGTTAGCTTAGCGAGTTGCTTTGTTTACATCCTGGGCTTTCACTGGGGTGAACTCACCGAGGCGCGTAGCCGCAGAACAGGTGACGATCAGCTGTGTTTGTTTACACGGAGTTTGCTGCTGCTAGTTTTGCGCAACATGGCAGAATACTTATCAGGTGCTTCACAGTACAGGATTCTTTTAAAGCAGCTGTGTCCTGGTGCTCGGGCCATTCACCCGGTTAAAGGCTAGCTAACTTCAGCGGGCTAACGAGCAGCCTCGGAGCTAGCTTTAGCTTAGCGAACTGATTTGTTGATTAAACAGGAAGACAACTCGCTCTCGGTTTGCTAAGCTAAAGCTAGCTCTGAGGCTGCTCGTTAGCCGCTGAAGTTAGCTACCTATTGCTGGAGATTCATAGTAAATAAAGAGTTTCGCGGCAGATAATGCGTTATTTAGAGGCTGTATTGTGGATGCCCCGAACCCTTGCGTTGTATKGATATACGCCGATCGCGTGTGGATCTAAAAGCGTCCGAAGGACTCCAAGTTACTCCAAACCTTTATGGGTGAGTCGATCTACAAACCATATGCTGGAAATAAGGACCAGGTTGAAAAAAACAAACTTTTCCTTTAAGTCTTATCAACTGTCACACTGCAGCTTTAATGACTTGTAATGTCGTGCACGTGGTCGCTGGCGTCCTGTGTTGATCCGTACATGTAGACGCAGTCTGTCAGCAAACCACAGAAAAACCCTTCTATTGTTGGTAATGTGAAAATAACCATCTGATCCTCGCTCTGGTTCCGTCTCCTCAGGTGGGCGACGTGTTTCAAAAGCTGCAGATCAGCAGTAATTATCCTCTGGCGGAGACGATGATGATGCTGGGTTTCTTCCTCACCGTGTTCGTGGAACAGGCCGTCCTCACCTTCAAGAAGGAGAAACCATCCTTCATCGACCTGAAAACCTTCAACGCCGGCGGCTCTGAGGCCGGCAGTGACTCAGAGTATGATACGCCCTTCATCTCCTCAGCAGGGGGATCACCTGACGGGGCCAGAGGCAGCGGTCACCGCTCACATGGACACCTGCACGGACACTTCAACCCGGTGGAGCTTGCGGGGGCAAGGCCTCTGCGGCTTGTGAGCCTGGTCCTGGCTCTGTCGGCTCACTCGGTGTTTGAGGGTCTGGCGCTCGGCCTGCAGGAGGATGGAGCCAAGCTGGACAGCCTCTTCCTGGGTGTGGCCGTACATGAGACGCTGGCCGCTGTCGCCCTTGGCGTCAGCATGGCCAAGGCGTCACAGGGCATGAAAGATGCTGCCAAGCTGGGTGTCACCGTCAGCCTGATGATCCCACTGGGCATGCTGGTAGGAATGGGCATCGAGTCGGCTCAGACGCTGGCGGGTGGCGTGGTATCAGTGGTGCTGCAGGGACTTGCAGCCGGGACCTTCCTGTTCGTCACCTTCTTCGAGATCCTGTCCCGAGAGCTGGATGACAAACAGGACCGCCTCCTCAAAGTGCTCTTCCTAATCCTCGGATACGCTGTGCTGGCCGCTCTCGTCTTTGTCAAGTGGTGACGGAAAGGAAGTCGCAGACTCTCATGACGATACCAAAGTAAACCCTGTAGCTGCTTTCAGACACTGGACTCCACAGTTCCTCCGTATTTTCTCAGGAGGAAGTGCATGTGAACACAGTTTCTACGTCTTTGTCCACCAGGACTCCTGATTTAATGTCTTAATAAATGTCTGTTTAAATTCAGGAGAGATTGTGGGGATAAGAGCTGATGACGGTGTCAGGTGATGTAAACATGATCACATGATCTCTGTAGGGGGGTAATTGGAACTGTATTTTGAAAATCACAATCATTCAGTCACATGTTCACATCGATCCACCATCATGAGACCCTGCAGCTGGAACGGAGCGAACATCTGGTCGTCAGAGTGACGGAGAAAATACAAACTATTCCTTTATCTGGTCTTTGAATAAAGGCGGAAACATCTGGAGCAGCTGGATGAAGAGTCTTTGAGTCTTTGAACGTGAGGTCAGCTCATGTTTCTCTGAAGTTTCATAAAAACAAGTTAAATCTTAACCTTTATTTCCTCGTGGATTCAAAGATGATTTTTTAAATTTAAAATCTTGTCGTTTACGTTTCCTTCCCAGTGGTTTTCTTCTTTACTGGTTTTGTTGGTGAGTTCTTCTGTCACTGTGAAGTCATTTCATCCAGAGGCTAGTAATATTATTATGTAATATAGATATTATACGTGTGATAGAGTCCAGTCACAGAAGGATCAGTGAGGCTGAGCTCAAGGGATCATGTCATATTCTGACCTGTAACTGTGATCAGTAAACCAAAAACATTTCAGACTGAGTTCAGGTTTGACTGGAGACACAGCAGGTCATTGAATATACAGGTGTACCTAATAAACTGACCTGAGTTTATATTCATGCTGTAGTGAAGTGATTCTGCAGCTTGACTCTTTAATTTATTAAAACCTGCTGATAACAAACTAAAACTCTGAAAACAGATTTAATCCATAGATGTAACGAATCACTGGTGTATTTGT